GTGGATTGTGTTTCGGACTGCATCTTGGGGAAAATTAATGCAATCATTTTAAATGCCTTTTCACCCTGGGAAAGATTAAGGTAATTTGACGCGTTTTTGTCATAATTGTCAAGCATACTGTTAACAATTCTTAAGGTCAGATGAAATTGCTGATCTTGGATGAAGAATAAAAATGTTGCTCTACAAGACAAATGCATTAGTTACTAGGGCTCGATGAGGAGCTGCATAAAAGTAAAGACTCGTTCATGAGTTTGGTAAAGTGGTACACCATGTTGTCATCACATACTGCGTGTACCGTTGTGCAGTGATGCTCCATATTGTCACCATTTGTATTTCACATGATGTTAAGCCGAGGGAGCTGCTGAGGTTGGGCTTTAGTCCCAAAGAAATACCCATAAGGTATGCGTCTCTAATAGCCTCTGACAGCAAAAGTCCAGCTGCTGTAATTGACAGAAAAGGGGTCAAAGTGAAACTGTCGTGCTGTAACTAGGTGCGCCGGGAAGGCGCCGTTTGTCAACACGAGTGTGCTGCTCTCCTAAGAAAAGGAACTCTGATTTCAAACCTTGGACCGATGAGGGTCTTCAGCTAGGGAGTGCAGCTTATTTATGAGAAGGGTTAGGCATGTCTCTCGCATGGAGGACGGTCGCATTCCAAATTTTCTCATGTATGGTGTACTGGTAACAGGGATAGGACCTACAGGAAGGCCAAAGCTACGCTATAAGAACATATGCAACAGCGACGTGAAAGATAACATGGTACAAACACTTGAGAAATATCAGTTGCAGACCGACTCCTTTGAAAGCAGACAGTGGCAGACGGACTGTCGCAGCTTGAAAGAGACCAAACGCAGCAAGCTATAGAGAGGAGACGTTTGAAAGCTAACTAGGCTCAGAACGATATCTGTTCTACGTTTGTATGTGGTATAGTGGTAGAGACTGCCACTCCCGTCATAACAGACTTTGTTCCCAAAACCAGCCTTGCAGCTCCATGGTCTCCATGGACTGACTGCTGCATACAGGTATATTCAAAAATTATTTCATTCCTTTCCAAACGCGGCTCCCATTAAAGGTAAAATCTTGCTGATGCAGTTATGAGCATTTCGTTTATATGGACATATTTACACTCTTGGTCTGACATCGTGTCTTTTCATTACCAACATTGACTCGTCTCAAAACATGACAGGTTGCAATGTCTTCGACGCCATCTGACGTTTACATTGGTACCCTGAAGTCCAGTGCGTCAACAGGCAGGCGTAAACATATGTTTAATTCCCTCAGAGGGAACAAAACATTGTTCAACGAAATTTATTTATTATTTGGTCATCCATTTATCCTGGTCATTGACCTTCAAACAGGCTGGAAATGGTTCCGTAAAAAACAAAACGTGCCAGTTAATTAGTTCTGTCCATGCATGGTCACATTCATTGTTCCCGGTCTTGGAATGTCTCTGGTGAAGCCAGTTACTAGAAAACGTTGTTGCATTTGATTAACTATTAACCGAGAAAGATGAAATTAAAATCCCAACACCAGTGTTGTGGCTAAGTCCATGCGAACGCTTCGTAATGCCGGGGTGCCGGGTTCGATCCCAGCTGCGGGTCATGCGCCTTGCGTTGGTTTCTACAGTGGTATCAAAAAGCCGACCGTCCAGAGGCAATGGCAAACTACTGGACGTAAATTTGCATAGAGAAAGCCCACAACAGCCAGGGGCTGCTGGGATTGGTTCTGCAACGTCCTATAAAGGATACTCAATTAACCTCTACCAGTGTTACGGGTGGCGAGGGATTAGCTTTGTTTTAGCGATGGCTCTATGTTCTGTCTACAGAGGATAGCAGTATATATATTTTTTTATCTGTTTCGTACAAGACAGACAAGGACAGACACAGAAATTACTGCTGTTATCAGGTCGACTTTACTAAAACTGCCTAGAAGGCAAAGTAGATTCCATATAAGAAGACAGATCTGATAAGCAGACAGTATTCATAGGGAATCTGAAAGAGTGAAACATCCCAACAAATCTGATCTATCTCCGCCCACCCTTGCTGGTTAAATTAGAGAGTTCGGGATTTGCCCACATCCAATTTCCTGCCGTTCCATATATAGTATATTTGTCTGTGTTAAAATCTACTAGCTATTATTCACTGACATTAGATAACAAACTGTAGTCCAGACCAGCTCGTCACATTGAGGTAGATGATGTTAAGATTTATTTCTTATTCTTTGAGACAAGGCATGATGTAATGTAGCAATAAGTCTCAGTTTAAGTATTAGTCTTAGTCAAAGTTTTAACTGAGAGAATAAAGGTAGATACAAGGTGTTGCAGGCGAAGTCATATCTTAGGGTAGCTACAGACACAGACCACCCTTTGCACGAAGCTCTGGGTGCAGTTAAGGATCAGCGGCTGGTATTAGGAAAGTCATGGATGGCTCAGGCAGAAGAAACAATCAAATAGGTTTGCATCTTTGAGAACATTAGGCGAGGAGAGGAGTGGATCAAAGTACCATCTGAACAGTCAGACTTGTGTAGGGTCATATTCACATTAGGCCAGGAATGCAGAGACTGGCCAGCAAGTGCCACAGAGGTGGAAATTCAGCAATTAATTCAAGATAATGCTCGCTCAGAAGATTTGATCATTTACAAAGACGGTTCAGTGTCAAGAGGCAAAGAAGTGCTTGGGGTTTCTTAACAAAAGTTGATGGTCGACGTTTGGTGCAGGAGAGCCTAGCATATGATACCACAACACCTAGCTTTAGAGTGGAGGTGGAGGTGGAGGCGATCAATGCAGCTTTCCGCTGCTTAGAGAACACTACACACGCACACACATCGTGATTGTAACTGACTCATAAAGCATGCTGAGGAAGATCAGGACAGGCATGCTTCGTACCGAGTGGCATGCCTCGTTTGGCCGGTGTATTGGGAAATGAACAGGCGGACAAACTGACTGGCACTGCACAACTTGGTGGAATACTGATGCATGATAAGGCAGACGTGGTTAGTGACTTGTGGGAGAGCGTCTACAGTTCAGAGAAGCAGATGAATCACCACAGTCTGGTGAGATTAATGCAGTGGGGAGTGACGAGAGGTTCTGGCAGATGCTTGAGGCTCAGAGAAAAAGCAAGTCGGAGGTTTAATCAGAATTCTACTGGCACCATTAGTATCGAAAGTCTTCGCTGGCTGCTGAAGATGGCTACGGAGCGCTTATGGGAATGGCCTTACTGATGTGATGTTGGTTTTTGAATCAAATCAAATCGAGGTTTCAACTTCACTGCAGTCGGGTGCCCATAAATGCTGTGCCAGTGAAAATCAAATGAAATTTCACTCAAAGCCCCATCTGAAAAACTGGTGAACAAGCACCTAGTCCCGGAACAATCCAGAAGTATGCAGTAAATGCATATGGCAGTTGCTGGATACACCAAAGCCAACAGTCGCCACCACACATGCTGTTTTTCGTTGATGGAAGTAGTCGGGTACGATAAGTTGGCTATACAAACATGGAGTTATTACACAAGATTTTTCACCAGCCCACATGTAAACCAGTTCCAGGCCATATTGATATTGAATACCACGACACAACCGCTGTACAAATGAAAGGTGTGCAGCAGCGGAAAAAAGCTCACAGTGTTGCACCAAGCATTCAAATCAATAGCTTAAGAAGCGAAACTGTAGACTTCCATTCATATGTGGAAACTGCATTAGCAAAGCGCTGTCGGAAGAAAAAATAACTTCGAAGCTCAACATTCTGCCAGTAGCAGTTACTTCCAATCTAATGATGGCGAATTTGACACGAAGATCTTATCTTCGCAAACAGTGAAATCAATCCACGTCATGTTTATTTAAAGGTACGTTTTTTTTTTTGTAAAAATAGTTCTCATGATTGATCAACTTGAATGTGTTCTTCAAACCAAATCAAACGTGATAATTGTCACTTTACCAACTGTGTGGAAATAACATGCACAAATTACATGGAATTAGAGAAAGTTCTTTGCAAAATATAAGTTTTTCAATAGCGGTTCTTTTTTCTCTTCCAAGATGGTATATATATATATATATATATATATATATATATATATATATATATATATATATGTGTGTGTGTGTGTGTGTGTGTGTGTGTGTGTGTGTGTGTGTGTTAGGGGGGGGTTATAGGCCTAACTGACCCAAAACAGCTATTAGTTTTAGACGGTAATACGAAGAAACCTGGCCTGCTATCAGTTAATAAAAGACTTTGCTTAGCCTTTTAGCAGTCTATTTAGCTGTCGCTCTCTCTTGCGTGTGGCCCGGCTGACAGTGTCAGTTGCCCGTGTTGTGGATGCTAGCAGCACATAGCCGCATCGCGATGCAGGTGCGATTAGCTGGGCCGAGATAGAGAGTCTGGCTCGTTTCTTATGGCGGTGATTTATTCTATGGTTTGTTTCGTTTAGACATAATTTTTTTTCTAGGGGTTAAACTGTCTGGATAGATATATCAGTGTGTTTCATCGCTCAGATATGTTTTTTTGTGTCGCTAGAAGCAAACTTCCATTTATATAAGTTAGTGCTTATTGCGTGGCCTGTGTAGACACAATGTTGGTCGTTAATGTGTTGTTTTTTGTGAACCACGCTGATTTTATGTTAAGTGAAATAAACAGATGTTTAATGTGGTAATCATAGTTCCAGATGTTTTGGTTCAGATTAGGGAGTGTGGTTGGTGTACCTAGTTTATTTATTGTATTTCTGATCTAGACTGTACATAGAAGACATCATATCTGGGCTAGAATATTTCTGTTTCTAGTCCCCGCTTAACGAACTCTTTTTTTTCCTTATTACTTAGGATTTTTGCTTCTGGTACATATATATATATATATATATATATATATATATATATATATATATATGTGTGTGTGTGTGTGTGTGTGTGTGTGTAAATTTTTATATATATTTATGTATATGGATGTGTGTGGGGTGGTTGGGAATGGGGGGGGGGTAATTTATTATATGCTGAGTATTTGTTTTCTTTTTTTTTCAGATAGTTGGAGTAATTGCCTATGATTTTCCTAATGGCGTCATAGCTGCTCGCACTGGCATTGGCCACCGCGGAGTGTATAATTTATCTGATGTGAGAACAACATAATACAACGTTGCAACGTTTTTGTAGCAGTTAGCTTCTGTTTCGCAGGCAATAGCTAATGTAAAATGATAAAGCACTTATATTATGAGTATTATCTTTTATAGCATGGAATTTTAAATTAGACTGACCATTTCTATATTACCAGGTGATAGCGTTCCTTTGTGCTATAGGAAAGAATGGAAGTCACAGCAAGTAACGAACACAAAATAGGGATGGGGACCAATTTAATCTGCTCCAACAGGGGGAAGTGATCACAAACCAGTCATCGTCATGATACGAGAGATAAAGCCTCCTGAAAACAGAAAAAAATATAACCAGCTGCAACTACAAGAAAGCAGACTGAGACTTCTACAAAAACTTAACTGAAAAGAGACGACTAGAGCCCTTGCCAACCAATAAGCTTGAAAGAAAAATAACACCACAACTCTTACCAAGATCATGCTCAAAGCAGCACAAAAATCAATCCTCTAAGGTCGAAGGCAAAAACTATGAACCCTTCTGTGCCAAAAAACTGCAACAGCTGCATGAAAAAAGCATCGAGGCAAGAGTACAAATGGAAGAAGTTCCCTTTGACTTCAACGTGACAGAACACAACTATCAACAGGCTATTTATAGAAGAAAAAAAAATAGCATGCATTAGGAGAAGATGGCAGGAAAACTGTAAAAAACTGCAGCTCTCAACACGGACAAAGACAGTTTAAAAAAATCTATAGCGTTTAATAAAGAGTCTGAAAACAGAGAATCACACCAGCAATGTCAACACTGTCTTTGTTGATGATAGGAAAACTTTCACCGGTAAACAAGCAAAAAATCTGGTGAGGAAAGCAGAATTTTCATGCCTAGGGCGAGAGGAGAAGAAGTGACGAGAGAACAGAGATAAATCAAGGGAAAAAAAGGAAAGCAAGATATAATGAATAAACTCTTTCAGTCCCCAAGAACTTAAATGCGCATTAAGAAAAGAAAGGCACATGGATCTGATCGTATAACAAATGAAATGATAGTAAACTTAGAACTACTGGTAGGCAACGACTCTTAGACATTACCAAATAATCCTGGAACCAAGGATTAGTTCCAAAGAAATGGAAGAAGGCAGAAATAGTCTCCATAGTTAAGAAAGGAAAGCCAAAGGAAAACAAACTGAGTTACTATTCCATAAGTGTTCTAAGCTGCACTGGAAAAACCATGGAAAGATTAGTAAAAAACAGGTTACTTAATTGCCTGGAAGAAAACAAGATATTGGATGACAGCCAATCAGGCTTCGGGAAATACAGAAGCAGTGATGACCAAACCTCTTATCTCGCACAAGAAATTGAGATGCTTTCATGAAACTATATAAAATGCTAGAAACTTTCTTCGAACCGACCAAAGCCATTGACAAGGTCTGAAAAAAAGGAACTCTTGCTTAAACTAGCACACCGTGATTTAAATAGGCAAGTTTGCATGGATTAGAGACTTTCTTTACAAACGCTGCCCGAGAGTCAGATTTAAAAAACACAAAAGTAAGCTGCTCAGATTACAAGAAGGTGTCCCTCGAGGAGGTGTTATATCTGCTACCTTGTTTATTCTTTTCATCAATGACCTTCACAAACAGTTCACGACTCACATTCACAAGGCCCTGCATGTATATGACCTAGCCATGTGGACCCATGATGAACATATAGGAACAACTAAAACAAGAATGCAGGAAGCAATAAATACAGTAAAGAAATGGACAGACTCTTAGTGAGTCACATTAAACCAGACCAAAACCATCTCGACGCTCTTCTATCTTTCCACAAAACTAGAACAAGCTGATCTGTACCTAGATCCAAAAGAGGACAACCTCACATATTTAGGAGTAAGCCCGGCTCTCTAGCGTAGTCGGTTAAGCTGACTTCGCGGCGGCCGAGTGACGAACTCCTTGTGGTCCGGGTTCACTCCCGGTGGTAGGCAAAAAAAGCCACATTTCTTCCAGATGTACGGTACCTCTAATGGAATCAAAGCCGAAGGGTTGCGATATCCATAGAACCGAGCCAAAGGATTCACAACTCATGGTTTTTGGATACCTGAAAAACAAAAAATGGGAGTAAAATAGACAAAAGACTAACCCGGGGCCCCGACATTTAAGACACCCACAGGAAAGCTACACGACAGCTCAGACTTATAAAGAAACTTTCTGGAACAAGCTTAGGTGCAGATGGTGTAACATGGTCCGACAAGTATACACAGGATGCGCACAAACAAATCTGGAGCATGGCCTGGAAGCTGCAGCCAAATCAAATCTATACAAACGGGACAAAATACAGCACATTGGCCTTAGAAACATCACTAGAGATATGAGAAACATACCAATCAACGAGCTGGAGGCCTCTAGAGCTGATTCCATCAAAGGGAAGAAATTGTGCTTAACCTAACAGAAAAATGTAAACGCGCGAACAACAACCCTATGCACAGAATAGCAGACAATTAAAACCCGACTGAAAAGACCAAGCTTTCACTATCTATCAAAATTGTTTTGCTCAAAAAACATTGACATCCTTTCTAAAGACCCTTCAACGTGAGAAATGATCTAAGGATACAACATAGACTTAAGCCTAACTATACAGTCACAACATTTACTCCACGCTAAGACCCATAAAAATGTCTACAACTTTTACCCAAAACCTGAATGGACGCACAGGTACACTGATAGTTCATTGAAGGGAACGGGGAGGAAAAAAACCCGATGAGCTGCTTCAGTCATCATGCTGCAAGAAAGGGACTACAGTAGAAACGCAATGTGTCTCATGAAAGCTCAGCAAACTTTCCAGTAGACAACAAACAATTATTGATGCAACTAAAGTACTTGGGGAAAAGGAGTGAGGGGGAGGGGGGGTGAGGGATAGCAAAATTGTTATCCTGTGTGACTGCATGTCAGTCCTCCAGGCGACTCAAAGTGATCAACGAGACAACATGGAAAGAGAACTGACCTCCCAGTTGAACACAGACTTTCAGAAACCAATCAAATTGTTCTCCAGAGTTAGCAGACAGACTTGCAAAAATGGAACAAAGAAAAAAAACCATTTATTGTCATTACCAGAAATCAGAACACTTATTAATATAAAATACAAGGAATTGTAGAGAAAAAAAAACTAACAATAAATATCCACAAGACCCCTATCAGCAGACTCAACAGAAAGCAACATGCAACATTTTTCTGTCTACGAACATGATACTGCAGGCTCAACTACCACATGCATAAAATAAAGACTGTTGAGCACCCACGGTGTGCCTGTCAGACAGGACCAAAAACATGAACACATTCTGCAGACCTGCCGACTCTACCTAAAACTTCAAAAAGACACCTGGTCTCAAGAGCAAAGTGAGCGGAGCAAGCTATGGGGAACCATGAAGGACCTACAGCTGACATAAGAGTTCATAGAAGCAATTAACCTGATGATCTGACTTGCGCATACGAAATCGAACGCAAAGAAGAAAAAAAAACATCTTTCCATGGCGTAAAGCATGAACAGTATTGGCCAAAGTTGCTATGTCCGCTAGTGTAACCGGAAAGAGGCGAAACTAAAGCATCGTTTTCTGTCTCGAGTGTTGGATCTTGTAAGCCGTTGCATCACACAGGGAAATTGCACGACTGAACAAAAAAGTCTTTATCTCACATTATAATTTTGAACAGCTACCTCCTCGTATCATTGCTCCTACGTCGCTCAACGAAAAACTAGCTAATCGTGTTTACTGGTAAAAGTGTAAATGACGTGATTATTCTCAAATCGGTATTACAGATTGTAATCACAATTTTACATTTTGACATTTAGCTTGGCGGACCCTTGTACATGAACGTTTCCTTCTTTTTATCAGATAAAACATCCGCCTCAGAAGGAATTTCAACCTACTAAATCTGTGTTCTAAAGAATGTGTTTGCAGGGTAGGAAGGGGACAGGGGGGGGGGGGGAGTAATAGTTGATACAAAGCAAACACTGTTATATATGAACGAAAACACCATACCATGTAGCGAAATATACATTTAATAGTCTATCATAAAGAGCCAAAGCACATCGCAGGCGGAGTTAGGAGTAAGTTGGGAGTTTATTAGCCGACACTGAGCATGATGGTGTATTTGTTGATGGTGACTTTAAGGCGAGAGGATCGACTCCATTGTAACAGGTTTGGTAGTATATGGCTTGGACTCTCCCCGGAAAGTGTCTGGTTTGCCCTGCAAGATTACAGGACAAATCGCAACGATGGCAATTATGATACCGACAACAACACTTACTGAGTGTTGACCTGCCTTGCATTATCACCCCAATGTACTGCATAAACGGATCGAAATCTTTCACATTTAAATTTGAAACTGTTGAAAATTAGTATATAAAGAGCAGTATGCACTAACAGATAAACTTCAAATAAATATTTTGACAGTACTCCGGGGTCGAAATTGATGACACGGATGGGAACTGTCAGAAAGTAGAACATCAAGACCGTTTTATCAAGATAGAGGGTATTCAATGTCTGCCAGGTAAGTATACGGCTAATTACATGGCTTTTGTATTTTAAGCAATAGTAATTAAATTATTAAATCATACTGTAATGGCACGTTAGCCTAATGGCTAGAAACTTGCTTGCCCGCTGAAAGATCTTGGGTTTTAATCCTCACCTGGTAGATAAAAATGAAACAACTTGATCAGGTCAACTGAGCATAGACAAGCTACGTCAACATGAAGTTAAAAACGGCCAATGTGATGCTGACAATCACCTATCATGCTCCGATTGTTCTTTAATAATATAAATCTAGCTTTGTATGCAAGGCTTGATTTAGAATTGATGAAGCCCTAAGCTGTATAAAGCCACTAGACCCCAACTGTTTAAATGTTGCCAGAATCAGAGAGAGAGAGAGAGAGAGAGAGAGAGAGAGAGAGAGAGAGAGAGAGAGATTCTTCCTCTCAGTGGGACGACTATTGTGGTTAATCTGATTAAAGTGAATCACGCAGTCTACTCCAAGGGTGTGATGTGCCAGTTGCTTCCATTACTGCAAAACTATTACTCCGTCATCTGGGCCTTAATTACTGCCGCGATCTAGCCTCCTCACATTTTTGTTGACGATGTTTCTATCACATGTCTCAGTTAAAGCTATACCGTCATTCTATTGCTGTCATGGTAGGAATTCCTCAGTATTAAGATGAAATCTTGTATGTTTCCAACGAAATAATCCTACATTGTAAAACGTTTAGCCTGCACGCCGACGCTGTTTTTTTTTTTTTTTTTATACAATCTTCTTGTTTAATTGCGATTTTAATTACACTTAACATTTTTTTCACCACTGTTAATCACTATCAGTTGCTTGACTAAGATATTGATTATTGTAAACTTGAGCTAATGATGGGGAAATTTAAAATATGGTGATTGCATTTTGTTAAAACTCTTTCACATGACGACATTTGAAACTCTTTCATTGCCAAGCAGGTTTTACAATCTATTTTAAGAACTTATCACTGTAGATAACCAACATTTGGTTTAGACATTGTGAAGCGATATCATTGTGAAACAGGATGCATCTAATGATCGGGCCATAGTGGTTAAGTGTAGCCATTAGAGAGGTCACAGTGGGTCAAGAAAATTATAGCATGACATTTGACGAATTGTGAGTTGCCTGGTACTGAATGATGTTAACTAAATCACCGTCTTGTCTTACTGACTGCGCCATAATGCGTCACAGAGAGGAGTTAGATGTAGTTTCATATAGTTTGCTACTTGCCTGTAGTGGCCCTTTTACTCCCTCCGCTCTTCTCTTGTAGGCTACTTGTTCCTATGTAGTACGCTCTAGCTGCCGGCTAATTTTGTTCCATTTTGACCAAATGACCAAAATATTTGATTCTCTTCCTTGTTTTCTGAATCATTTACCGGTACTGGGTCTAACACTGTTCTTAGTTCTTCGTTCGTGACTGTCTCTTCTTGTTTTCCCCATCGCATTTCTTATACATTTCATTGCATATATTGTAAATTTGCCTTTACGTTTTTCTAGGATTATCTGTCATTTATGTCAATACATTGGTGAAAATAACTAATACGTGTTTGTTTGAAGTTACATCTTAAATACGCTCTCTTTGCTAATCCATTCAGCAACTGCGGCCCTCATCAGTACTGATATAAGGCACGTAGGCCTCATCGACAGTGATAACCAGTTTTTGGGTTGGAGAGCTCCCTTTCCTGGTATTGGCAATGTGACCTTTGCGTGGACAACAACAACTCCAGCAATCCCAGTTCTCAGGGAAGTGAGGGGTAAGTAGAGACTGTCGCCGAATCTATCAATCTTCGATGTAGATAAGACCTAGGGAACTTATCACAAACTTGCCCGGACAGCTAGAGATCCTTCTCCTTCCATTCATGCCGTTGCCGGCCTCAAGCCCAGTCCTATTTTATTAGGTGGGGCGGGGGCGTGGGGGGGGGGGTTTATCCATTGTTTGGCGTTCGTTCATGTTTCTAAGAGGCTGTGTTGGCGGGAGTCTCTTCGCCGCAGGCTCCTGTGTCCAAGTAAGAAATATTGCAGGAGGGCGCACCCAAGGCGCTATTGTTCATGGGTATCGAAACTGGAATATTTTATTTTTTTCTACGTTCCTTGGCGGTAGCTTCCCCACAGAAAAAGAAGCCATTGACAAGTACCGTGGAAATACAAAAACCATCGCAGTTTCGATACCCATGAAAAGTCGCGCAAGTAGCACAGCGTGCCAAATAATCATGCAATTGAGCGGTGAAAGACGAGACAAGAGAGAATGTATAAATTGTTGAGAATAAGGAATAGATGACACCCCAAAACATTTGACAAACTGTGGAAGTCCTTCTAATGACTGGAAAGGGAAGTAACTCTCGCAGTGAGGGCAAGTTCGTGATAAGTGTCTGACCATGAAAATGTTAATAGGTATTACTTAGGATGGGGTAATCCGATAGGGTTCGGGAGCAAGATTTTGAGGTGCAAAGATATAAATGAATTGCTCTTTGACAAATATGGTATAAAAATATTGACTTATGAAAAGTTTGCTAAAGTTGTATGTTTTGGGAGATACGGTGCAAATTTCAAAGCCTAGCTGTAAACCACACAGAAGAAAAAGGTAATCTCAAATATTATCTGTACATAGGCACCATTGACGAAGCAGGGATAATATCCAGACAGACCTGCAAACACTTGGTGTTACCAACTGGAAAGAAAAGGCAAACCAGAGAGATGAATGGAGGCGGGTGATATCTGCCGCAATGAACCTCAAGGGCTCGGAATGCTGAAGAATTTTAAAAAAAGAAGGCACCGTCTACTGTCACCAGTAGCTTGCCGAAAAACACTAACAGTTAACATGCTCATTTGATTTGTAATTGTTGTCTCGTGAACAGGCTAGACGTGTGAACTATTCAATTCTTCAACGTGAACCTGACGTACTTCCAGAGAATATTGTGGCAGAAGAGGAAACAAACGTAGTACTAATAGTATCACAAGCAGCTGCAGCTGTAGTAGTAACTGAATAGTAGCAGCAGTTGTCAATTGTTGTTTCATGAATAGCTTAGTAGTGGAAGTATGGTAGTGGAGGCTGTAGTAGTAATAGTAGAAGTCCTAGCAGCAGCGGCGGTTGCAGCAGCAGCAGCATCAGTAGTAGTAGTAGTAGTAGTAGTAGTAGTAGTAGTAGTAGTAGTAGTAGTAGTAGTAGTAGTAGTAGTAGTAGTTGTGTTGTTGTCGTTGTTGTTGTTCTACTAGTAATTAATAGTAACAAATAGAGAAGATGAAGATTACCTTAAAGATATTCAGTTTGACATCAGTGACGATATCTACAGCTCTGTGTGTGGTTGTGTGTGGGTGTGTGCGTGCTTGCGTATGTGTGTGTGTGTGTGTGTGTGTGTGTGTGTGTGGATAATATGCCCCTGTTTGATTTATCTATTGCTTTCGTGTGTTCATGTTTTTTTTTTAATTGTTTTTTTTTTTTTTTCAGAAAATCCAGAATCAGAGCCTCAAATAGTGTTCTTCTTTAATACGACCCTTGGTATTGATGACAAAAGCATATTTGATGTCCCAGCAAAATGTAGTCCTGCAAGTATTATTGGTTGAACTTCGTCTGACACGAAAGTCTCTAATTATTTGATGGAGAAGTTTATAATGTTAAACTGTGTTAATAATTTTACCATATTGTAAAAGGAAAGGGTGTACAACTTTAGTTTGTAGTTTTTGTCATAAATAAAATGTGATTTAATTATCTACGCGTTTATTATTATTATTATTATTATTATTATTATTATTATTATTATATTATTATTATTATTATTATTATTATTATTATTATTAATCACCCCATACTGTGGATAATAATTACGAAAACAAGCATCCTGACTAGAACTCGGAAATTATTTTTCTTCTTAGCGTTCACAGACTTTAAAGTTCTGGTAGTTCGACCAGTTCTGGACTGTAGTCTTATTACAATATTTCGGTTTTGCATTCACATCCGTTTTGCAGATCTGGCTAACTTGTGTGCTGAGGGCTGCTTCCTCGCCTCTCAGACAAATGTTTTCGGTCTTCAAATGAAACATCTCTTATTAGTCGACTTTAAGGGCATGCTTGATTGCGGGCGCCCGCAGTGGGTCTGTTTTCTTCCCAACCCTGTCTCCACCCCACAAATGGGACCCTGAAACCTACACGGGGAACTCGGAAATAAATAGTCAGGTAAAACTTGTGTCCATAGAAAAATTATCTAAAAGATACAGCTTTGCGCTGGCACCACTGAGTGTTCTAGCATATCTACAGATACCTCATATTACCAGTTCCAGTTTGTGTTAAACACAAATGTATAAGTTCAGCGACGTTAAACCAGCTCCTATCTGAGCGATGGTTAGTTAGTCGGCCAGGTTTCATTGTGATTATTCTCAGGTGAATCTGTGTGATGTGTTGCCACATCTGGGTTTTTGTTGTTTCTGCTTTCCTTTTTCGGCTGCGATTTGGGCTGTCTATCTGGCGTGGTTCGGGCGGTAAGTTGTCCTTCAGCATGGCAGGAAGGGTGTTAACCGTTCTGAAAAGAACAGTTAGCGTTGCCGCTTACCTGCCGTTATGGCACTTTAGGACAGGGTCTTCACGCCAACGCCAGTATGTGCATGCCTCTTGGATGCTCGGGGAATTATAAAGCCACTTGATTTTAAGTTTTTTTTTAAGAGGCGGAGGGGGTTGAGGTTAAGAAAAAAAAGTGGGGGGGGGGGGGCGCATAGCCACTGAAAGTAGGAAAATTTCTTCATAAGGTTGACACTTAAAATATTGGTAATTATGTGAGTGAAACTGTTCATATTTCACACAAGAATATTTAAGGGCTCGATCAATTAGTTGACAGTTCTTTTGCATCTGAGTTGTCGATAGTTATTAGAACCACTGGCAACTACTAAATCACCCCATCGGATAACTATGCTCTTTGATTATTATTATTATTTAACAGTATACTTTGGAGTGAAAACGCAAACATCCAGAGAATTCACAAACAATTACGATATTTTCCTGGTTCTGTTGGGACGTTTTAAATGGCCTGGACTATATAATCGGTCGTGACCTAGAACTATAATCGCCATGCAGACTGACAGGTAGATTACCAGTAAGAGAGTTTCGGTGGCACAGTAGTTAATGCTCTTGTCTTTTAGGAGTGTGGTCTAAACTCAATCCGCAGAGGTGTCAGGTTTCCCTCCCCCCATCCCTCTTTTCGCCCCAGCTGATTAGCAGTACTGGCTAATTTTTCTAATTTGTAGGCAACATTTTTTATTCCAGCACTACTGTAATAGACGCTTGGGCGAGTACAGACATTTTGTTTTTATAGACAAACAAGGGTTCGATTACGGATATAATCACAATCTTCTCCTAGATCTATTATCGCCACGTAAAGTGTTAGACAGGATCTGTGTCAAATAGCCGCAGTGGTAGTGTAGTTAGTGTGTTCGCCTTTCAAGAAAGTGGTCTGGACACAATCCCCGAACGTGTCATGGTTTGTCGCTACCAGTAAGCCTCTGGAGTCGACTCACGCGTTATAAAACTTGGGAAATCAGATACAAATTTCGAGATATCTGTAATAATTGTTGCTAGGACGGAAATACAACGGGTAATAGAATTAGCCACTTGACCTTGTATGCCATGGCCCAAAATATGTCAAAAAGTAACACTTCATATCGGCGGCAGGATCGGATGTGATACTACTTTATTACCATAAATTATATATCCTACATTATTATACCATGTTAGTTGCGTATCCTTTACATGTCGTTGCAGAACCAACCCCAGCAGCACCCTGGCTGGTTTCTCTAGGCAAATTTACGTCCAGCAGTTTGTCATTGCTTTCTGGACGGACGGCCCCCTGATACCACTGTCGAACCCAACGCAAGGCATTTGGCCCGCAGCTGGGATCGAACCGGGCACCCCGGCTTTACGAAGCGTTCGCATCGACTTAGCCACAGTGCCGACATGTTATTATACATTTGTCTAGAATTATGTGAAAGTCCAAAACATCATTCTTGCTTCACCTTAACGTCCATAGACAGCAAACTCCAGCGGAATGATCTGGGGGTTTGTCCACTCTCAGAACTTGAGTCAGGTTTATCTGTATGCAGATAGTTGGTTACTCCCAGTGGATCTCAATCCCCCCCCCCCTTTTTCCCCTCTCCAGGGAACCCATACAGTGATTAACAGAGAAATAAGTCATCCTAAGTTATTATAAACGTGTAAAATTATGTGAAAACCGACACATCAATCCCAGGCAGCTGTTCCTGGTAGGGAATAAACAAAAATTAAAAGTAAAGATCCCTTTTCACGCCTAAGGCGTTTTTGGGAAGAGCGTCTCATATTTTTATAGGCCAATCGGCACTGGATGCGTAATGTAGTCAGCATTACGCCGGCCAATTTACATTCCCAGGATAGCCACCTTGGTAACCATTTTTGTCTGGGTCGACCTGCTACGCCCCATACCATGATAAAAATCCACTCAGCCAGGAGTAGGTTTCGATCGCGGTGTGTTGGATTACGAGTCGGACTCCTAACGCCAAGCCACGGACGCTTGTTCCTGGTAGAGAATTACGTTTACTAATTTTCTAAACGTGGAAAGTTGTCCTGTGTTACTGTGGTCAACGTGACAGTAAAAGTTACCAGGGCAGAGCATAGCTGGTTTTAGAGAAAGCAAAAATAAGAAATCAATAAAAAGCTACGCTCCTTTCGCATGTCAGTGGCACACTGGGCATGTGATTCAAGACACATATTTTAATATTCCAATTAGCACTCAGGGAGTCATATGGTCAACACCAAGACTATGATACTTATTTTAGGCCAAGTAACCAGGATGGTCAGTCTAGTCAATAAATGCCAGAAAAATTCAGAAATGTTCGCTGAACGGCACTAATATTGCAGCCTCCTTGTAAACGTGCATAAAGCATTCACATCTTCGGATGAACTCAGAAAAAAAAAGGAAGATTGTGGGCCAGGTTGACGAAGAAGTCAAGATACTTATTTTTTTTTTTTTTTTTTTTTTTTTTTTAATGAGGATTCGAACTCTATACTTTCAGGCCCTCAAATAATTGACTAAGTCACAGCGCTGTCCCGGCTGCTGGCGACACAGTTGAGAATATAACATTTATTATCCACTGTTATACTATACTCAGTGTCTCACCTCGGTGGTGTCTGGACACATCTACAGGAATGATCTTTGAAAAGAAACGTAAAGTGGACAAATAACCCATGTCTGACGTTCTAACAGAATGTTCCCAATGCACGGGTTCAATCAGCTGTTACACCCTGTCTAAAACCTACCATTGGAAAGCTGCCAGATTTTCCTAGCCGCTCTCAGTGTTCGGTTAATTTGCACTGAGTGCGTAGATAACTGACAATGTTTGCTGGTATGTAATCTCTGCATACAAACATACATACAGAATCTTAAGTTTAAAATAGCTTCTTCTTCTTCGATTTTTCTTCTTATTCTCTCCTCCTCCTCCTTCTTCTTCTTGCTATTATTATTTTTATTAAACAATTTGAGCCTATGAGGCTATTTGCTGCACATATCACCAGCCTCTCTTTATCTCTCTGAATAACATTGTCTTTTCAAAGGGCGACTCGTGAGTTTATTGATATGTTTTTGCACTGCGTTTTTAAAGTAAACTTCAAGGAGACTGTCTGACTGGCTAATTTTTATAATTTGTAGGCAACAATTTTTATTCCAGCCCTACTGTAATAGACACCAGGACATCACACAAGCGATAAACACCTGATGACACAATGTGCCATTATGTGGGTGAGGATCACAGTGGAGAGATCCCAGAAACCGCGTTCAGCATTCAGGCCCTATTCATGACCAGGCTATTTTGCGGCCCCTGGCAAGAGCCAGAGTAGGGCTTCAAATAACGAAAAGTTTCATCCTAAAAAGAACGGGAATATAAAGTCAGGAAGTCGATTGACTGACTATCTGCCCAACTAGGACATCACACAGCGACAAACACCCGATGACACAAAGTGCCATCATACGGATGAGGATCACCGTGAAGAGGTCCCAGAAACCGCGTTCAGACAATTGGCCATATTTATGGCCTGCCTATATTGCGGCCCCCGGCAAAAGCCAGGGTGGGGCTTCAAAAAACAAAAAATTGCATCCTTGAAGGGACGTGGAACCTATGTAGTCAAGGAGTTTAACTTATAGAAATAGAAAATACAGATGTGCATACTAATGTATGTGTTAGGCTCTTTTAATAGTTTACATACACAGTCTGACAATTAGGTAATTAGACTAACTCCATAAAAATTAAAATAATCAACAGTTGAAGATATAACCTGTGTTTTATTCAAAGTAAACTGCTTGCGCATTAATACAGCAAGTGACACGATCAAACAAACACTGGAACGACCTCTGTAGTTCTTCAGTTGTTATGACCCTTAAAGTCGATGTTACGGCCCTTTGGGTGTCATCAAAATCGTTAGAAAAGCGTCCTTGCAATCGAAATTTTAATTTTAGGAATAGAAAATAATCACAGGCGGACAAATATGCGAAATAGGGTGAAAGGCTGAGAACACGCACTTGTTTTTGGGCGAAAAATTCCTGTTTTGATGAT